CTAATAGATCTCATGCTTATCAAAAAAGAAATAGAACATCAACAGCATAATCTGACAGCACTTCAAACACTGAGTTCATCTTGCTATAACTATATTCAACTTAATAATCCATCTCAATATGAGTTATAAAATAATGGATCTATATAACAGATAACTCCAAAAACAAGCCACATTTCTACAAGAACTGTATCACAGTTAAAATGACATTAGACAAATTATCTGATCAAAAATACAATAGCTACAATGGATAGCATGGCAAAAGAAAGATACTATAAATCATTTACCAAGGATTCTTCTACAAAAAATCAACTTTCTCCATAACTCTATATGTAATTTACAAGTAAACAATATTCACAGAGTAGACCAGTCATCATTGAGAAGAAAACAATCAACCTCTATCATATTGAAGACTTTTGTGTTACTGAATAGTACAACACTCATCAGTTCTCACTTTGAAAGTAAAACATATAATAGATAAAATAAACAATCAACACTTACATAACCAAGCAATTGAATGGCATTAAGTAGGGGCATTATACAATAAGATTAACAAAACAAAAGAACCAAATTGATATATGATGCTCAAAGATCATATCCATAACTTCATTAGTATATCCAAACAGAGGAACCTTCTCAACTCTCTAGCTCAAATCAAGATATATAGCACTTGATTGAAAAGATCAGTTGGTACACATATTAATATTAAAATAAGATAGTCTTGGATAAATACCTCAGTAACAACAATAATATTATTAAGCTTAGATACTACATCACTATATAGGAGTTACCTATTTTGAACTTTTCTGTCAAAATAACAGAGATATCCAACCCTCTCACTCTACTATATAAGCTTATCACTCTTTCAAATAATATAACATAGAAACTTAGAGTCTTAATACAACAACTCATATAATACTATTATATTATAGTATATATCGATAGAGCTTATAACACCAATCAAAATACAAACTAGGGAGGAGTAGGCATAATCCTCAAAATACAGACAAATAAAGTTATCAAAACAGGAATAGCCATCAAGGGCCAGCTATCAGCTAATAGATATAAAATTATCATAGCAACAATCACTATTGGACTTTGTAGCAAAGAAATATATATATTCCTACATATATATTTAACCAATCTGATAACAAATTACAAACTAGTTTAAAACAGACATATCAAGAAAGCAAAAGCAACAAGAATACTATTCAACTTAATACAATTTATATAAGACAATTCCATCTTAATTGAATAGATTCATTGCAAAAAAGAGGACATGAATCCCTTATTGACTAAAGCTGATCAAATAGCAAAAGAAATTAGTAAACAATTGCAATTCATATTAGAGGACACTATAACAACTCAAATACAGATCCCAACCTCATCACCTTCAACTTAAAAGGTTACAAAATTACTCAAAATATATAGAAGACATTTAAAGTAATCAATCAAGCCAAGTACACATATAAGTGGATCAAGCTTAACTGAAACTAGCAAATGTATACATAGTTTAAAGATAAGATCAATTGGAAGACTATCTTCAAACAACTATACTTCTCAAAGATTTTCAGTGACAATATAGATATTATAGATTATGAGATTTGTATCTTAATAATAAAACTATAGAATCAAGAACTCTCCACTATAAATAAGTTGCATAATTAACAACTCAATATCTATAAGACTCCTAAATATTTCTGCTGCAAAATCAACGAAGATAATACATATCCATTTATATGCTTCTTTCATTAACTCAACATTAAACAGATGATTGTCAATACTAAATATAGAGAAATAGTTGCCAGAAAAGAGAACAAATTCAACTATAGCATAAAACAATAAATTATAAGTATTTTAAACAAAATAAATATCTGGTACATAGTTATTAAAGGAGGAATTACCAAAAACTTAATCTCACTTATCTCACAATGCACAAAAATAGATAAACTAACCTCAACCATAAAAGATATTACTAATAGCATCCGACTTATCACATATAGCATATGGAGTGACAGATATTTTTATTTTCATATATAAAAAGCAATACAAGACATTAATTACCAGAAGAAAGGCAGTAGCACTATCAAAAAGAAAAAGAACAACTATAACAATAAACAAAGGCAAAATGAAACTAGTCAGAGAATATCAGCTGATCTCATAATTATAATTATCTCAGGAATACATGACATCTTTACTATCTTCAACAAAGTATGCTAATGGAGTCTAGGCATATTAGCCCTTCCAAAAAGGAAGCAACAAGTAATAAGTGATCAAGATGCAATTTTCTTTTTTGTAAAATATTGTAAATAGATATAGAGAAAAGTAGTTGACAAAATAACTTTGTAAATTCAAGTATTTATAATATAAGAAAAATCAAATAAAGTAAGCTTGAACATGTCTTTAAAAAATTAATTAATTTTTCTATTTTTCCTAAATTAAGTTATTGAAATAGAATTATTTCTACAGTAATAGTACTATCAGAAACAGGATTTAAGAATTATCTATTTTTTGAAGAATTTAAGAAAAAAAAATAATATCAGTTTTTTTCTCATAATTTAAAATAATATTAGGATTAATATTATTCCAAGCTTTTGCAATCCAATTTATTGCATGTTTGATATTAATATCTTTAGGAATTCTTTCAGCATTATATTTCAAATTAAATTAATCCACCTTAAATTTTAGCAACAATCTTCTATATTATACCTATATAAGTTAAGTTAATTAATATTTTGAAATATTAAAATTATAAAATTATAATATTTACTTTAAATGAATGAATAATTTCTGCTTCTATTGATTGTAATATGCAGTTGTATTGATAGGTAATGGATGTAATGTAATATTTGACAAATGCTTTAATTTTAAACTATTGTCATTATAATATATGGGTGCCTGGTTATAAAGAAGAATAATAGATCTATTATCTTCTTTTATTTGATTATTCAAATGAATTAAAAATTTATTTCAAATTGTAGTAGTTATCTAGACAGTTTTATTTCAATAGTAACCAACTGGTAAGTCTTTCCTCTCAATTTTATTCAAAATTTGAAATAATTTAAAATAATGAATTTCAAAGGTTTGATTTTTATAAAACCTAAAAAAATATATAAATATACAAGTATATAAATTTTTGTAAAAAATATAATCTTATAATACTAGTAAATTTTGCACAAAAAAGAATTATGACCATTTATTTGTCTTTTTTTCCCCATAATTGCTTCTTTTGCAAAAGATCTTAAGGATTCTATTTTTCAATAAAGACCAGTTTTATCATAATTAAATTTTTTCTAAAGGCCAGTTTTTTAATAAATTTTATAAAGTTTCTCTAAATTTGGGAAGTTCTTCTAAAGGAATACCATTATTTTTTCCATGGTACACAAATTGCTTCAAGTTGACTCTTTTTTTTAAAAAATTTGTTAACCATCCTTCTAATGCATTAAAATCAGAAATATTCAATAGTTTTGCAAATTCCTGAGCTTGGTATGTCAAAATAAATCCAGTGATAGTTAAATTGGCTCTTAATATATTATCAACCTAAATCATTAATGCTTTTTTAAGTAAAGGATACATGTAATTTTTTTTCTTTTTCTTTGAGTTTCAATAGTATTAAGATCAAGATTGAGCCAATGTTCACTATTTTTTAAAGTTTTAGATACTGTACTAAGGCTGATGTTATATTTTCAAGCCAAAGTTTTATTTTTAAGATCAGGATGTTTTTGTTTTAATAACATAGTTCATGTTTTTGAAATCCTTTCAAGGTTTAGGAAATTTAATATTGTGTTTCATTTTGAAATCCTTTCAAGGTTTAGGAAATCTAATATTGTGTCTCATTTTATTTGTAAATTGATTGGAAATTTTTTTAAAAATGGAGTTAAAGTTTTGGAAAGAAAAATTTATGGATAGACATTAAATGTATGCATATATACAGTATAAGAATAACAATATCCCCCAAATTGATTTTGAACCCCAAATTAATTATAATAAAAATTTTTACTATTTTTTTAAAATATTTTATTTATTTTCTTATAAAATATTAAATAAATATTAAAAGAATAAAATTTAAGCTTTATAATTATATAATGTTATTAAAATTAAATTATTGTTTATAAAAAAATAAATTTAAAAATTTGCGGAGTGTAACTTTCGTCGAGCTACGATAATCACGTGTTTAACGTGATTTCGGTAAATCAAATGTGAATCATACCTAGGGTTTCTTCCTATCCAAATGTGGCATTCAATATGACAAAATATAGTATTTGTCATGCAATGCATACATTTTCTTTTATCGAGAGTTGACCGTATATACTAATTTTTTTTTTAGCTCTTGTTAATAGAAAATAAAAGGTAGGAAGAGAAAGGCCGAAACACTCTCATACTTATCGTTATGGTCAGCGAGGTTTATCCAAGCGCCTCGGAAATTCATACTGAGAGAAGAGACGTCTCCCAACTCAAAGCACTTTCAGTAAATTATTTATAGAATATCTCCGAAATACCCAATGATAGAGAATGTCCTAAACTTAATCCATGTCATACTTGCAGTTAAGAAATTCTAGCATTTCCACTTCAGGAATTTACCGGTAATTATTTTCGAAGGCGGACAGGGATTTTTCGGACCATATAATTGTGATCCTAAAATTTGCATTATACGTATACGTATTATTAAAAAATGAGGGCCGAAAAAATCATATTTAGTATTTTGATCGCCTTCAAGACATATATTTATTATGTAAGCAGAAACACGATTTCCCACATGTCCAACCTGCCCCACAACCATTGAAATTATTAGAGAGGAACTTGTACTCGTTTCTGGTGAGTATGATATAGTGCTTAATAATCAAGATCTTGGGAAAAAAGCATCCCAGCGAAGTGATATCACTATCGAAGATAAAGAAAATGAATTATAAGTTTGATACACTAGGGTTAATAGATGAACTTCTCTTGCGGATCAAGGGAAGCAAACGGATAAAGCTTCACGCAAGATCAAGCAACAAGATAATATGTATGATCAGGCTACGAGTCCCATTGTGATAGAGGATACTAACAATACACCAGATGACTCGGGAAATCAAGCTAACAAAAATTCTGGCCGTACCACCTTCCCTGATGAGAGCAATAACGTATATGTTATGCAAGATTCTGCGAAGGGGTCGAAGCCCTCTAATTATGAGGATCAGTCAAATGAAAACAATGAAAATGATACAAAAATGATACTACTCTGGTCCGTTCATCGAGACAATTATCCCCAAAATTACCCGTGATCAGAGTAAATTGCAGGGCTTATTACAAGATTTATCCACGCCTATCAAAGGAGGGACTGATGAGGATGGCGACGATGAAGGTTCTGGTGGATCATTATCTCAAAGTTTAGCCTGATTATGTCAAAAAGCAATTCAGGCTGAAAAACGAGTGACTCGGGCAAATCAACTTGAAATTTTGTGTTTGTATCACTACGGGAAAGGATATGAGGATAGAGATGATGATATTAAACCAATGACAAGAGTATTACGGATCAAACAGCTAGGAAACATGAAGTTGTACAACATCTCCTTGGTATTACAAAGGATAATTTACGGAAAAGACAGAAGGCCAGAGTTATTTATAAGTTGTTTGGGAAGATAAGAGTAGCAAAAATCAAGAGAGTTAAATCTTATAGCACTGATATAATTTCAAGTTTAACTACTACTCCAATCCAAAGTATTATAGATAGTTTCCCATGGGATCGAAAGATCTGCAAAACCTGTGAAGAAATCTTCACTGTTTCACGTGACTACTGCGCCATATTGTCATCTTACAACAGTTACGTATTCGCAAATACGCATTAAATATTTTAATCAGATCGAAGCTTATAAAAATTATGCAATGCTACCCATTCAGTCTTTATTTTTGTAATCATCAACTATCTGATAGCGTTGTTTTTCTCACGGAATGAGACTCATCTGACTAATTTGTAACAAGTCACTACATAAAATTCTCATTTGCAAATAAAAATGGTATTGACCCGTGAAATTTCATTTAACCTTTCATGTACAATAAATGCATTCTCTAGGACGTCCACAATAGAGAGATTGCACACCTGACAGCATTCTGCAAAACATTGATGTAGTAGATGTCAAAAGTAGCATGTGATACAGTACTGCACCTTTTTGAAAAATGCTAATTTCAGAGTTCCAAAAATTCATTACTTAATATATAGAACCGTTCCTTACAGAACTAGTTGTTATCATAAATACAATATTATCTATGTCATATTGTGAATTGGAACCGGTTTGAGAACCAATTCTGGTTCTAGGTTCTTATTTATGGTTGATCAACGTACACATTTTTTATAAATACAGTATATGATTAATTCTATGGGTAAAGCTTATATTATTATTCGACATGAACAATTCAAACGATCTATTTCTTCTTCCACCTTCGTGGATTTTATCTTCTGGAAAATTACATTCTTTTTATTTGTTCCACTTGTGACGGCATCCATAGTCGACGAATCTTATTTATCTCACCAAGATGTATATGATGCAATCCTTAACACATTGTTTCCGGTCACTTTTGTGATTTTGTTCAATATCTCAAGAAAGGAGAATGAAGAAGTAGTTGACATACAATCTAAAGTTGACCTTGATGAAAAATCCGGGACTTCACAAGATATAGAAAAAGTAAATAACGAAAATAAAAAAATACAACCTGATAATAACACAAAACCTGAGAATAAAAAAAAAAATAACCATTTGTTCACGAAAAATAATCTGTTGCCATTACTGGATGATATATTATACAACACAGTCACTTGGGTGATTCCATTGACAGTTTCTTTTGTCTATGATGATTTGCTGAGTATTAAGATATTTTCTATTGTAAACATGTGTTTGCATGTATTTTGTTTGATAATTGCATTAAGTAAGAGAGAGAGAATTGAAAATATTGATCTCGTTAAAGTTTCGTACCATTTTTATTATTTTTTCCGGTTTTAGTTATTCCAGTATTCTGGATCGTTTAAACCATAATTACACAATCTTTTGATCCAATTAATATAGTATTCCTTATATTGTTTGGAATATTATTAGCTTCAGGACCCATTTTATTTATATTTATTTCATTTTTAAAGAGATTTCTGAACATAAAAAATATAAATGATAGAGTTTTCTTTTTTTACTTGCACTTTCAGTCATAACCTCGTTTTATGTTCCGAATATTTTGCAATCATTATTAATTGTATTACAATGACCAATTAATTTTTATTTTGTCAAAGCATGTGTGTTTATACTATTTCTATATTTAACAAGAAATGTATCTTATTATACTAGCGATGGAGAGAATGTACCTGATGATTTTCTGGCTACTTCAACAACAACTACTCAATATCGTTTAAGCAAATTTATATATGCCTATAGAAAAGCTAAAAATTCTAAAGATATTCCTATTCCTTATGGATGGGTCACTTGGATGATGCCATTCATTGATAATATTTTGGCAGAACAAAATGCCTGCTAAGGTATCATCATTACTGCATGTTTTTTTAATACTCGAATGACCATTAAAGTCGATCCAGTTAACACACATTCTATGCAAAATCTATTGTAATGTGAATACCGATTAATGTTTTTATATGTATCATATATAAATTATGTGAACATTATAAGCATTTCAAACATTCTTTCTTGCACCATTTTCTTCGAAACTTCTGAAACTTTTAATGCTAATTTAAAATAAAAAGTAAGTGTTAAACAGATAAAGGATTTTTGCTAATATACTATGAGTCGCATTTCGGATCTTTTAGGACAATACATTGTCAGTTGCCTCATCTTAATTGGGTAACTATGGTATGTGTACCCTTACTGATTACTTGCCTCCTTTTCCACGCTTTTTTCTCACACACCACGAACTGCTACGATGGACACAACTAACTTGATTAATATGCGAAAAGGAGAAGCTACGTTGGAGGAAACATCAGATATGAAAAAGTTATCGCGAAAGGTCTGCAAATATAGAAATAAAAGGCTCAATCAGGAACGTAAGCATGGACATGAACACAACAAACCCTCCCAAATAGCAGAAAAAAAGATACTAGTTATTTTGACCTTTCTACTGAGCTTAATATTACTTTTGATCCGTGAGGGCATATTCATTTTTGCGGAATTGAGTGATGGCATTTTTTCAATATTTTCCGTATTTTCATTATGAAAGTATGGATCGTTAAATTATTCATGTCGCCATTAGTGAGGAGAAAATATGGCGTAGTGTTCACGCGGTTCAGACCACTGAGCTACGAGAAATGAAATAGTTAGCAGAATTTACCTCATAACTTTTTTGATTGTCGAACTATACTACCCATGTCTACTAATTTCTTTACCGTTCACTTTCTTTCTTTTCCATGCTTCTTACTATTTGTGATATTATAAAAAAATACAATTGAATAAAAAATACAGTTTTAAGAAAATATATAGGTTTAGTATACTGTATAACGATGTTATCTAGACAAGCTAATCAAGCATTCATCCGCGAAGATACACAAGCCAGACTTTCAGAGCTTAAAGGAGTGGCATTGAACACGATACTCTATCCACGTTCTAATGCTATTTTAACTCAATATCAAGAAGAAATTTTTGATTGCCACTTTATTGCTAAAATAATAATACATCAAATAGCAGCAATTGAAATAATTAATCAATATTTTATTATTAAATTTAATCAAATTTAACAACAATTAAGATGTTTAATAATATAATTTCAATTATTGGTTATTTTATTAACAGAGTATATACTATATATTGTATTATATTCAATTTTTTTTTGATCAATTATATTTAAAAAGTTATTATTTAGGAATACAGTTAGTGAATTATTTTTTGTTCTTGTTTTTAAGTCTTATTTAGAAAATATATTATCTAAATATTTTAGCTTTGATAAAAGTAATTTGATCTATATTCAAAATTATGACAAAAATACTATCTATAATAGAATATCTGATTGGACTTAAGACGGAATTAAAAATAGTTTTTTAAATAGAAATAGTGTTATAGATAGTTTGAGTTATTAAAATTTTATTTTTTACTATACTTATTTAATAATTAAGCTAGTATATTCATAATATATATTTCTTTTTTTTTTTATAACTTGAAATTAATTAATACTTCTTTATTATTATAATTAATGTTTTGCAAAAAATAAACTTATTATTAGGATATTATTATGTTTCAAATAATAATATATTATTATTTTTCTTTTTTTAATAGAAATCATATTTGTTTATTTACTTTACTTTTATAATAGTGTTGTGGCTAACCTGGCAAGTCTGTCACTAATCTGTAGTACCTTGCGTAATCCAAATGATTAACAAATACTCACAACTGATACAAAGAAGAGAACACCTCTGATAAAGAACACTAAGGGAAGGCAGAGACGTGGTGATTGACTTGGCTAAGGATAAGTGTCTCTTTATTCGCTTTCTGTTTCTTTTGTATATTACTAACTCTTGTCTTTATTCACAATGAGAGCTATTTTCTAACACATTCAGCACTACCTTCTTGGCATAAATTGGTAAGCTATTTATACTTTTCTAACTAACAATGGACTATCTACTTTATAATAGGCTATGCTAACCCTAAATTTTGCTAAACTTTCCATACTTTGTCAGACACACATAGTTCCCTTATCAGTACCTGAGCCTCAATCTATAGTTTCTTCCTTGTGACACTTAATCTTTCATGCCAAACATTTGAGTTTTTGGATTCTAAACCATTACACATAAATCGCATCACCCGCGTGACCCATGTCAATAGTTATTGTTATTACTCCATGATACTACATATACAGGGATGTTGCTAATAAATATGTTTTATTTCTGATTAAGATAAAACACAAGGTTTTGATGAAAATGTATCCTGATATCAATAAAAATAATTTAAAAAGATAATTATTAATTAAAGTATTTTTTAAACAAAATATCAATTAAATAGAAAAATGTAAGGCTTGAGGCATATATTTGACCCAGTAAAAAATACTAACAACTGCGTATCTTTCAACAATTGTCTAGACGAATATATCCTTTTATTATCTGAACACATCCTATATACAGTATATATTGTATTTATTCTACAGTTTCCTCCTTTTAATATGGGTCTCACACGACTTACATAATGCACCAGTCTAATATACATAAGATTCTTAGTTTCCACAATGCAAGTCAGTACTCATGCACTCCAGGTCTTGCCTTTAACTCCCAGATTAACGTTTTGATCGCATTACGCGTACGCTTGTGTCACGTGACTTGCAACAAAATATTAGCTAGACCTGCTAACCTAAAAAATTTTGATTAAGATGGAAATAAAAAATTTTCATATTTACTTTATATATTAAAAAGAAATTAATGATAG